TAAATGGGTAACGTGGAACGGGCTGTTCCAAAATTGGAATGGGCCGTTCCAAGCAATAAAAAGACACTAAATTTTAATTTGGGAACGGGTCCAGAACGGGTCGTTCCAACTGGGAGAACGGGCCGTTCTAATTTTAGGACGGGCAATTCTGTCCTTTCACCTTCAACGAACTTATTTAACCAAGCACCTTAGGCAAGTCAATAAATACAAGGTCAAGAATCAACGGAGTGAATGAATCACTTTCTTCTTGTCTTCAACTAACTCCAACTTTATCTTTTGTTGAATCTACATTATCCAACAAATTTACTTGTTTTCTTTTAAACAATATATCATCCCTAGTTTCCCACATGGACCATATAGTAATATATATTTTATAAGATGACATTTATTCATATTCCAACTACTGAAACTGGATAAACTAAGCTTATGTGTGTACTGTGTACTGTAGAGTAATGATTTCAATTTTCAAACAAAACATAATATGTGATACATAAATTAAGTTTATAACATTATATGATCTTCGTAATTAATAAATTTGTGCTGGCAACTTAAAATTGCATAGAATTTGTGATACTATACAAAATTTGTTCAATTTCTTTATCTTTTTTTGCAGAGAGCTGGGCCTTACGGGCTAATAGGAGGTGGAATATGGGGTGCAGCAACTGATATAAGGAGGGTTTACACCAACATTGCGAATTCAGGGGCAAGAAATTTCACTCTTGCACCATCAAACATCACTACAAGAGCTGGTGGGTGGGTGGCAATGGATTCCAGCAATGGCAGGGTTCTATGGTCCACAGCTAACCCCACTAACAGCACTGCCTATGGCCCTGTTAGTGTTGCAAATGAAGTTGTCTTTGCTGGATCTGCTGATAGAAATGGATACATATATGCAATTGATGCCAAGAGTGGGAAGATTTTATGGTCCTACGAAACTGGAGCCAGTGTCTATGGAGGCATGTCAATCAGCAATGGGTGCATGTATGTAGGTCATGGATACAATGTTTCTGCAGGGTTTAGCTTAGGCTTAACGGGTGGATTCTATCTCTTTTGTTTCTGTGTCGTCTAAGAATTTACATGGCTAATACTCAATATGCCTGTTTGAATCAGTTGTAATTTTAAAAAATAATTATTTTTTATTAGCTTTTTGAAAAAGCTTTTGAAAAATAAGTATTTTCAAAATTATGTGATTATCAAGCACGTACAGAATATAATTGGATCAATAAAACAGAAACTATATTATTGTGGTATACTCTCTTTGTATTTTGTAGAATTTTAAACATTTGTTTAAAAATTATCATTTTCTAAATTCTAGATGAAAGTCTAACAGATTCATCAAATCAAAGGGGCTTGCATGAAAGATAATACCTTTATGCTATAACCAAAGACTCCACAAATTACATGCCACAAAACTTCCAAAACTTTTTTTGCCGTATACCTGTGATATGTCCACGATGATCCTCGGAATTGGAAGCACCACAGAAAAGCCAAGCCACATTGATAGATCGAAAAACAGAGGAATAATCACAAGAGGATTAGTTTTATTGTTTGAAGGATAATAATCTCGAGAAATAGTATATGATAGTTGAATAATAATTAATAGTGAATAATAGGAGTTTATTTGATTTGTAAGAATATAGATACGATGCAATCGTAATTTGTCTATTTAGAGGTATAATTTGGATGATGGTAGAAATTTTTCAAGTCTATACTTAGTTTATATTCTTTTAGTTTTTTGTAGAGACTCATAACTATATTTTAAGGTTTCTAAAATTTTCTTTTTCTTTTCTAAAATTTACATCATAATTTGACACATGTATAATGCATAAATACTACATCTTGAGGGCAAGTGGGCATGAGAAGAATAAATGTTTGACACCACACATACCACAAAAACATCCTGAAAATTGAGGATAACCTTTCTTTTGAACAAATTCAACTTATTAGGTAACATATTTTGAACAAGTTCAACCTGAAAATTATCTTAGTTATCATTTTTAGACCTGTCAGATTCTCCAAATTTTTGCTTCCAAACAAGCGATCCATCCTCTTCTTTAACTGCAAATATTTACCATTCCAGGAGTATCTTCCGTGGAACAAATCTCCACCATGGTTTAACCAATTTTGTGATTCTCTTGTGTAACCCCCTAAAACATGAAACCAATATATAGGAACTTAGATTAATTTTTATGCATGAGAGTAATCCTTAAACCTATACCTACAATTAAGCACTATATATTGGGAAATAACGATAGACAATGGGAATGAATATCGACAGATTTTAAAACAGGATACAGGAGCAATAATTAAAAGTATAATTTTTGAAATAGGTACACAAGGAGAACCGAGGCACAGTTTTGTAAAAAAAGTTAGTATTGCTTTGTTAAACTTTTAAAATTGATAGATAATACAAGATGTAGAAATAGAAGAGATAGTTGATTGGAGGAGTTTAATTTAATTTACAATCAGCAAGAAGTGACCAATTTATAGGCTCTTAAATTCGGTGAATTGTTTAACCATACTTCTAGAGTTTTCTAGGTATTTGTTTTTAGGTTTATCTAATATGTTTTTAGTTTTTTAAATTTAAGATAGATTTATTTTTTATCTCTTAAATTTAAAATTATTATTTTTAATCCTTGTAAATTTTAAAATATTATTTTAATTTTTCAGATTATCAATAACATATTTAAAAGTAGATTAAGACTTATAATTGACAAATATGTCAATATCTTTTTACCTAATTTAGGTGATTATCTAGCATATTTCATACTTTGGAGTCATGATTTTGTCCAAAAAAAATTAGTATTCTAATTTTATCCCTTAATTAATAGAGTTCTTTTAGTTTTGGGTATTTTTTATATTTTTTTTTTAGTTTTGAGATACAAGTAGGAAGGAGCTAACATCAAAGAAGTTAAACATTCATTACAAGAAAATGACGATTTTGCAACAGTTATATGGCCTACATTGCGACGGCTAGAACTGTCACAAAGACACCATTACGACGATTTACCAAATGTCGCTGACATGTCTGTCACGAGTAAATTTTGCGACGGTTACTGTAACTGTTACACAAACCGTCACAAAATTGGAATTGCGACCTTTACAGCACCCGTCACACTAATTGCTTCTAAATCAATCCTAAATATTTATTTTTTATTTTATTAAATTTTTTAAAAGTCTCAAATTCGGTTACTATTCTTCTCAAGGATTCTATTTCACAATACTTCACTTTTTAGCATGTTTTGTCCTTACTTACACAGTTTCTGGGAAACTTCCCAGAAGGTCACCCATCCCTATATTACTCCAAGTCAAGCACACTTAACTGAGAAGTTCTGATGAGATAAGTTACAAAAAAGCAGATACATGTTGTCAGTATAAATAGTACAAATTAATAACAACTTATATAACACAACATAATTCAATGATTGAGATGCCTTTTGGGTGATGACCAAAAGCAAAACCCTGAAGGCTAAGGCCCAAAGCAGAAAATATCTCATCATTGTGGAGTATGCTTGTGTAATAAGCTTATAAAACAACCCTCATAAAAAATCTTCTCAGACAAATACCATAAAAATAACCCCAACAGGTTGTATGTGTAAATTGAGTAATATGAAATGTTAATAGTTTGTTATAGAGTGTGTTTACTGATTCTTTGACCCTCAACTTCCAAAACTTAAGATCTCAACTCAACTACTATCTACTTTGTTTTGAGGTCCTCTCTCTAACTTCCTTCTAGTTTTGTCTTAAAAAAGATCTTATATATATTTCCTTAAAATAGACCAACTTAGATCCTGACTCAAGATGAATCCCAACCAACTAAAACTCATAAAAATTTCCATTTACAACTATAAAACAACTAATCACAACATAAATTAAATTAATAATATCAACAATTATTAACAAAATTCACATTATTCGAAAGACAATACCATGTTTTCCTGTACACATTTCATTATGTCTTTTATACCTTTTTTTAATCACATTATCTCTTATATTTTGTTTTATCAATAAAGAATAATTTAATAATTTTTATTTATTATATTAATTTAATAACTAATTAATTAATATTAAATTACTCCACAATTCTTCCAACCATTTATCAACATCTTTTTGATTAGCATAAATTTTTTAAAGTTATTTTTAAGCAACTAAATTAATTATAGAGATATTAGTCTCACGATTTTCAAATCCACCTCTACAGTATAGAGGTTTGCTTTGACTGAATTTTAGGAGTTATATACGTACCCTGCATCTTTGCTGTGTAATTACTCTTTGGTAGAAAAAAAAAAAAGAATTATGAAGAGAAATTCTTTTATCATAGTAAAAGATAATTTTTAAAATAAAAACTTACTATTATATTATTTTAAAATCACGACCAAAACTTAATATCACAATCGCAACATCATCTTATCTAAATTATTGATACTATCAAGAAGAAGAAAAAAATTCTTCGTGCCTTTATGAAAAAAAATGATAATTTTTATTCTTTTAATATTTACGTCAATTATTTAATAATTATTAAGAATAAAATAGGTAAAGAAATTGTAATGACCAAATAAGATAACTTACATTAGTACAGAAGTATAAATTAAAAAACAAATGTTGTGAATGAGATAAGCTTAGAATGAAACCAAATGGATTACTTTTTTTAAGTCTATGAAAAAGATTATACGACGAAAATAAAATGGAATTTAAATTTCTTGTATTTTTCCAATTTTTTAACACTACATCAAAAGGATTACTTCGTCAATGACAAAAAATATAAATAAAAATACTTCGTTACAATAATCTATTAAATAATATAAAACTTGTGCCGTCGTATGTTGATTTTAAAATATGTTTTTGATTTTTGAATATGCAGCAACTAGGGACCATCTATTATTTTATTTATCTT